AACCAACAAGCTCCAGAGTTAGTGGTGTTTTACAAGTGTCATCCTCTGCTGTCCCCATCGCTCATTTTTCACTCAGTCATGCCGTAAACATAGCAGTGCAGAAAGAATGAGAGTCACAAGCTGTGATCGTAAGTCACATAGAAACTTTGACATGTCTTTAATTGGCAATTATGATTGAATACTGATGGGTTGCTCACATGAAAGGAACAAGAATGAACTGATTAGGTCAAGACAAATTCCTAAAGTCTTTAAAAAGAAAAACAAGTTTAGTTTAAAATTTAATCCATTGACCTTTAATTTGCTTTATTTTTTGTTGTCGATGAAATCCCACCAGTGAGATACCAAAAATATAATTCAAATTGCTTCACATAACAAGCTGATTTTTTGTGAGTTTATTGGATGTTTAAAACCTCCGGAACGCAGCACAAATAACTTTAATAACCACAGTTGACACCCAGCGCAGTGCTCTTGATAAAACACCTTTAAGTAATCAAGGCAAGGGTAGATAATAGCTTGGAAAAGGACCGAGCCGCACTGTGACAGACATTTCCAATTAAAAAATGGTAAATAACTGAAGATTCATCTATTTCACGCTGTCCAAAGACTTATCAGTGTATATCGTCTTTTTATATCTGTTCACTCCTGAAACGCTTCTATTACACATTTGGGTTTTCTTGACAAAGGAATGTGTCGAAATACCACATTCATGACAGTAGCAGGATGGAGGGGTGTGTTGGTGTAGTGTGCATTTCTTTGTAAATAAGGTGACATGACTCATTAATGTGATGAATGACCATCCAATTCCCCAGATCCAGCATCAATCCCACCCTCCAGCCCCCTTCAGGCGTCATTCGTTCTGGCCATTCCGGGTGAAAGCCAAACATTTAAATGTATGTCCGGTAAATGCTGAGGCAAGCAGGTCCAACGAGCAAATGGTTGCTCTTTTCAGCTCTGGAGGCTCCCAAGGACCCATTTCACTGTTCCCATCAAATCATTAAATTTAACCTGCTGCTCATTTAGAGTTATAGAGAGATCAGCAGAAAGACAGATAGAGGAAAGCCATTCTTTGTTGTAAAGGCTGAATAAATAGAGACGTAAAAACAAATTTGCCCCAGAACAGATTAAAAAAAAAAATAATTTCTTGGAATTTTGGCCTATTCTTTATGGAGCCCACATTCATTTTTTTTTTTTTGAGAGATGACATGTTTAAAACATTACCACAGTCTCACTCAGATTTAAATTCAATCTTGGACTAGACCACTCGAGACTTTAATTTTATTTTTGTTGAGCCATTTAGAGGTGAATTTGCAGGGGGCTTCAAAAAAACTGTACATAACTGAAGTTATGCAATCACTTTCTCTAAGCAGATTATGATTTTATATATTTTTTAAATGTTATACTCCGGATGTAGCAGGGTGCACATCTTCCTTCCGTCTGCCCTGTTTTCAGATTATTTTTTCCCTTTAAATATATGTTGTTGATAGCGGAAAATAATTTTCAGAACATACTCGGCTTCTTTGGGTAAAGGTAACCTTTAAGTAAGCAAATGTTTTCAAAGCTGCTGCACCAAATTATCTTAAAGCCATCTCTAGCTACCCCGGTCTTCAGCTGTTGCTTTCAGTACAGTGGGTACATTCAGTGTTTGAAGACAATTTATGTGATGTGAGCCGCTGCAGGGTAGCAAACAACCAACTGGCCATGATTATGCAAGGAAACGGCCTGCAATCTGTAATGTATGTAATTTTAACTGTCATAGTGTTGAGTATTCTCTTTTACAAATCATGCCTTTTAGAGCCACACACTCATAACACACACCTTTGCTCCATCCCTGTCCGCTTGCGTTTTGGGTTCCCATGGTCCGGTTGGTGGAGAACATCTAAATATAACATCTAAATACAGCAGCCCCCTGCCTGCATGACACATAACACACTAAGTACTGGTCACTTGCAATTATGTTCAGAGACTGCTCACACAGCTGAGTCCATTATAATCCATCCACTTAAAGACACTTACAGAGATGTTGTACCCTGGCTGCCGTTGGGTGACTGGACTTAGTTTCTATGGGAACAAGCATGCCTGGCAAGCCAGGAAAATGTGGATACAGCAGCTGCTGCTCAGATAAGCAGAAGAAAGGAGCCAAATGTTAAGTCACTAAAAGAAACGGAGCAAACACTTTGTTCAAAAGACAGACCGATTCTTCCCCCAGTCTGCTTACGCCAACATGTCTTACTTGTGGAGCGAGCTGGAAAATGGGAATATATGGGACATTGCAGAGTGGATGTGGTAAACTTTCTATCTTGAGATTGTTTTAAGTGGAGTATTACGTCTCCCCTGCAGTAGATGATCCTTAAAATGACTTAAGTTTGGATAACCAGCAGGTTCATCTCACCAGAGAGTTGCGCTAATCCCTTCATGTTGTTGTCAATTACAACTCAAAGCAGGTCTAATTTGTTCCCTACTATATAAAAATGTGTACTCAACATAATCAAATTCCAACCAACTCAAGCCAATCTTATGCACAGATTCAGATTCAATTACCAATTCTGTCATAATTATGATTTAATACAAACAAATTAGATTTATCATATAATACCAGCTGCTGAAACATTCTCCATCCAACGCAAGTACGATGTGAGCAGTGAGGTTGCATCCGAGGATGAGGTCGAACAGTGTAAGAACATAATTTGTGGACTGAATTGTCTTCCAAGTGAGCTGGAGATGAATACAACGACTGAAAATATCGTCCAGTGCCCTGCTTGTTTTCCACAGCCAGACAGCCAACTTGGTGCCATATAATCATTACTGTAAACGTCTCTACAGTAAATATTTCACTCTCCTTCTGTTACATTAGGAATTTCTATTGAGCATTACGACACAGAGAGCGGGTATAGCTATGCAAATCACACTGTTTATCTTGGTGTCCCAGCAATACAACGTCCTGATACGACCAACTTGGTTTATTTGCAATGTTTCAAACAGCAAACTGCACTTGTGATCATTACTTGCAGTCCTGACAAGCCGCTCTCTGATTTGTATTGACAATCAGAACCACAAACATAAATTACAAACATCATTTCAAGCATGAATAAAACCAAATGGCAATATTACAATAGCAAACAGAGTTTTTACAGTCTAACGTGGAAATGACTTTTTCAGCTACAGATGGTGCTTGTGGGCGCAGTGCTGATTATCTGACCCTCCTATGCTTCTTTGATGGGCAACGTTTAAAGACCTGTGTCTTTAAACGTTGTGTTTATGGGTCAAACTTTACTTGTTTAGCTCCTACAAAGCAGTGGAGTTTAAAGTATTTCACATATGAATATAATTATATTCAAAACAAACCCAGTCACGAAGGGTCCATTCACAATGGGGAAATGTCAGTCTTATTTTTTATATGACTTAGGTTCAAGGGGTTAAATTAACAAAAACCCAATTATTAAACTACAAATATAGCATTAAACAAGATAAATTAGTAATTTGCATGTGTCTTTTGACTGTGAAGTTTTGCAAAGGGAAAAAGTTGGAGCACCAGTCAGATGCTTCGCTCGAAGGGTTGGCTGTTTTTGGCAAGTGCTGCCCTCACCCGCGTGCACTTCTTGAATCAAGCAGAAAGCAAATGTGTCCCTCCTTCTGTTGGGTCAAACCGCAAGACAGCCCAGATTTTTGTTGGGGAAAAAAAATAAAAAATAAACGGTGTGGCATATGAAGCTTCTGCCTCTAGGGCCTGATTTCGTTGGTCTCTGGTGCTTCAACAATGAGGCTATGACAGTGCAACTCAGACAGGCAGTCATGTTTAAAAGCCTCTTGTGCTCACAGTTTTCTGTTTTTCTTTCTTTCTGCAAACAGTGTTGGAATAGCTCAGAGGATCAGTATCTGGAAACACTTCTCACCCTGATCCCTGTTGTGCATCCAAAACACCTATTGTATTGATTTTGCATAGAATCTTATACTGAAATATATTACTTAGTTGTATACAACACCGACTACAGGACTAAAACCTTGCAATTAATGTAACACCAGACTATTTTGAAGCAATTGCTTCAATCTTGGTTTTGTTTTGGAGCTCTTAATGATGGTGACACTTTTCAGCTTTTTGACTGGCCCATTAAACTTCTCCATCTCTTTCAAGCTGCCACCTCTCTGCTCCTCTTATTGATGCTCATTTAGATCAAGATTGCTGCCCAACAAGTCATGCTTTGGTTGAATTTACTATATAGAAACTGTATAGTATAGGAACTGTTGGGGGTTTTTGTAAAGAAACATACTTCATAAAATAATATCCTGAAATTTAAGGTTGGATTGTTGCTAAAACTGAAAGATATTTGTGATTAATTATGTAACTATTTAAATTTACTTTTGCTTAATGATCTGTTTTCTCTTTATTTTGGGCTAGTATATTTGGTAGAGGAATTTTTACATGTTGGTAATTTCCTGTTGGCTGTCTTGGGTTGGTTTATTTAATGATGCGTTCTTGTTTTTCTTCATCTACACCTGCTTTATTGATCTTATCAAACTTTTTGAAGAAAACTGCATTAAAAACCATTCATCTGAAACATTTAAAAACCAAATGTGCAGCAAGCCTCCAAATTCCTTATTTGCTTCTGATTGACTTCACGAATGTATCTTGGATTTGAAGAACATTTAGACAAACTTTCCATTTGAAATCCTGAACTGTGTCGTGCTGAAAAAGTGTGGCTGTGATGGACAAAACTATCATGTAACTTTTAATAGAGCATTTCAGTTGCAGTTAATCAGCCACTTGTGCATACTGTATTGCTATCAATCCCTGTTCCTCTACAGACAGGATGATCCTCTTAGCGCCTTAGCAGTCTGGGACACCATCCCCACCTCTCACTTTTGCCAATTTGCTCCTGGAAGACCTGGAGTCCTTGTCTTCATTAAAGGAGTTCCTCATTGATCAATCACTGTCAGAGGAGTTGCTCTGTAATTGCGCTTTGGCCTAATCATGACTGACGTCTCATCCCCTCGCTCTGTCACAGGTCTCAGGAGAGAGAATGTTCCATGACTTTCACACCTTCAACCTCAAGGTAGGCCTCCCTTCCTCCTGTCTGTGTGGTTTATCTTTAGGTGTGTGTGTCATCCTCTAACGAATATTAAGACTCATTTACTCATTAGCGAAGATGAGGAGATGTAAATGAAGACGGAATTGACTTTTTGAATATTTTAGAGCTCCATTGACCTCAGGGGTTTGAGTCTTAGTTTTTAATATTTCTCACCAGTTCATTTTTTCCCTTGCTGCTGTCATTTTGAATCTATAAAACATCATTTTGTCAATATAGAGACTATGTACTTCTTTTTTTATTATTATTATTGTAATTCAGTATTTACTCATATGAATTAGATAAATGAACATAAATCTCTTATTTTGATTTGTATATGCTTAAGCCTTTGAATTACACTTTATTTTCATTTGTTTTGGCTCTGATATGTTTTTTGGACTGGATGATGAGACAAATTATGATCCCAGATCAAACCAAAATAAGTCTGAGTGACTTCCTGCTGGTAGATATAAATCAGCTTGTGTAGTGCAGGATAAAAGGTCTTTGATTTGTTATTATAAGCTACTGGTTACCTATGGTTTTGCTACAACAATGATTGATTTAAATTAGGATTAAATAATTAGTTGGTGACTAATCATATCTGCAGTTGTTCAGAGTTTGACACTTTTTTTCTCTTTCTTCGTAATGGGATCTGTGGCTCATGTAGTACATGCAGGTTATGTCATTTGATTAATTTGTGACATACCTAGAAATTCATCTAAAAGAAAAGATGGCATGAAAAATTATACAGGTAGAAAGCTTTAAATGTTTAAAGGTCTGTGTCAGATGCATCCATATGGCATGAATAAAAGCAGTTCGTGTTCATCAAGCAAATTTAAAAACAGGCAGAGAGCCAACATTTGCTCAACCAGTATTTAATCTACAGGTTGAAACAGAATGCTACAGAAAATGTTTGAACCTCATATTTCAAAATAATTTAAAAAAAGAACAAGCTTAATGTTTGCAAGTTATTCAGTCGGTGCTCATTAGTGACTGCTGGCAGGAAGTTACTATACTCACTGACCAAAATTGACTGTCAGCACTCATAATTCTTTGCACACTACTGCGTTTTGCGTACTAAAATGATTAACGGTGGCCACAAATGTCTTGTTAAATGAAGATATATTTTAGCCGTATTGTGTATCTTTTGTAATCTAAAACACAAACGCAGATAGTCATTCGGATTGTGTTCCGTGATTCTTTTTGTCCAGACGCAACTTTTACAAAATGATGGAAAATCTGTTATATGAACGATGTTGTGTGTGTAGCACACAGAAATATGAAAGCTGTGTTTTGAGTATTAAACTTCTGCAGAATGTGACGTTGTTTCAAGTGAATATGAAGCACATTACAGGAGTGATTTTCCAGTCTTAAATGGATAACTGTCCCTGAATATTAAACCCACCAGGCTGCAACAATCCAAAGAACCTGATTTTTGAGTCTCGCATTTGTGCATCTGAAATAGGTTTTATATCAGTTTGATATTACAGATTATTCTCACTCCCTGTGTGATCTTGCCTTAACACACGGTTACTTATTCTGTAAGCGTGATGTTTCTGAATGCCCACTCGGCTTGGGCTCAGTCCAGTGTTGAAATAAAAACAGTCAGGCTTGGCGTCTGACCCATATTATCATTATTCCATTCTTTGTCATTCTTACTTATATTTTTTTAAAACAATACCTACCAGCTACTGTGAAAAACTTTGCATGATCCGCCTACCTCAGCAGAGCCAAAGGATATGACCCCCCAAAAAAATCTTTTACTGAGAAATACTTAATTCAGTGCCTGCTGGTCTAGTTTAATATTTCCAAATGTCATCTGTGTGACATTTGTTGCACAATCGTTCGTGCTTTGACTAGAGGGGGAATTACATTGTAGATCCTAGTCTTTTTGAAATCTGGTTGCACTCAGAATCAGAAATAGTAAACTCTCTGTCCTTACAAAATCAGGGTTTTGTTGATGAACAGTGCTGCTGTCAATATACAAACAGCATAGTGTGAAAATTGTTTTTCACTGATTACACAATGCAACACAATCAGTATTTGCTTTATTTATCTGTTTGGCATAATTCTGTTTTAGTATAACTTTCATAACTTTCACCAGTGAAAGTAAAAAAAAAAAAAGCATTAGGTTCTGCAAACGGCAAGTCTCTGCTGCCACGTTTTGCAATATTTAAATAAATAAATTGTGCTGTGCCTTTACTTATCAATAAATAGACAGATTACCAAATGTGACAGTGTGCTGAGATTTAGAGATGGTGGCATTTCATCGGGATTTCATTGTGAGCCACGGCTGTTTGGGACTGCGCGCTCGAGGGGGAAAAAAGTTTTTAAATTTAAAATGCAATCAGCACAATCACCACAAGCAATCAGTTCCTCTTCATTTCACCTGATCGGCCCCCCCGCCAAAGACGAGCTTGTTAAATTGAGCATCTTATCAGGCCTGGATTAAGTTTTGACTTTGATTAACACATGTAGTCAGAGTTTTGAATGTCAAAGTTCAAGTTTTTGAAACAGTTTTATTATTTTTCTTTATGGAAATGCCTCATGTTTCACAGTAAGACAGGGTGTGTCTGTTTGAATAAAACATGCTGAAATTGCACAGGATTAAAATATTCCGTATGAATTTATGTGAAAACTGGAGGGAGTTTGTTTGGTTCTGTTATTTCTTAGATCTGTTTCTCGCTGGCTTTGTTTCAACTAATCTTGCTTTTTGTTTGCCTCTCAACAACACCCTCCTGGCTTTCCAAACATTGAACAAATATATTGGAAACTTTTTGCTGGTAGTATTTAAGTAAGTTGCATCAGGCAGATTACGTTCTGAGTTGCTAAACATGTTAATCGTTAATATGCGTCAGCGGTCCACTTTATTTGAGAGTATTCATTTAATGTTTCTAATACATTTCCTGTAACACAGAAAATGTGACAAGGCGATAGTAACTTTACTATACACTGGTCAGTTTTCTTGGGATCTACTGAAGGTCTTGCTCTCTTGCTCCGTCTTGCAGTCTGAATAAAACGCTGATTCAACATGTCAAAGAGAAGGAAATGGCACAGTTGAAGCATTCTTCTCTCTGTAACAACTTCCTCACCAAAGAGTGATTTACTTCATGTTAAAGTTTGGTATTGTGTATTCACCGTTGACAGCTGAGCACTGGTCAGGGAAAAAATCCTCCAATTCTTGTCACTGGACAATTACTCAGTATATCTCTAGAGTACACACATCAGATACAGTCAAACTGGATAGATTGGAATGTATAGGAAAAGTTTATATGAATCAGTAACTCAGCTCACAAGTTATTCTCACATTTATAGAATCAGGCAGATTTTATAGCTTCTATCTGAGTCAATAATGACAATTACTTACTTGTAGCTAATGGAAATATGTCATTTAATATTAGAATATTAGATCTGACCAATTGAAGACATTCTTAAAGCAGAAATGCGGGCGTAGTAAAAACATGTTTAGATGTTAGATGTTGTTGACGTCATAAAGGTACTTTTTACCTGACAAACGAGCCTCGTCGGAACCCTTGCTCAAAGTTATTGAGCATGACTGTATGTTTGGTGTCTGCAGTTATTAACAATCACCCTTCACCGAATGCATGTGTCTGTGAAGGCAACTCAGGATTTAAGAGCTTAAACAAATTATATAGTTTCTCCACACTACCTAGACAGCACAGAGCACGAACTACACCAATTCTAATACCGCTACTGAAGACTTTTTTTGCTCCGTGGTAGGCATTAAGTTAAAAGAGCTGATAAAGTGTGACAAGGTAGCACCTTTAAAGTGTCGTTGCTGAAGTTCATTATGGAAGCTACGTCAAGCTAAATTTTAATGTCACTAAAGCTCATCTCCTTTGGGAAAAGTCAATCCAAGTGCACACAAGCTTCATCCACACATATTAAACTGTGGCCCCTGTTCACAGAGGGATAAAGAGGAGAGAACGTCTCCTCAGACACAGCTGCGGCCATGCATCTAAAATCTAGGTTTGCTTCCCTCTAGAAACAGGTCAACTGTGAATACCTTGCATCTTCTATTCCAAATCTTTGCAGATTCTTAATTAACTATTACAGTACATAGAGTGTGTGCTGCTAAATGTTAAAAAATGCTGTTCGAACCGAAAGCTAAAGAAGGGGCATTTTGCCATAAATCTCACATCTAAGAATCAGCTTTGAGGACTGCAGAGGCACAAATATGCTAAGTTGATCCACATTTAGACAGTGAATCATTCAGATTGCACCGCTGCGGCTGCTTAATTAAACGCTCCACCGTGTAATGACTTTCCTTGAAAGGGAGTTAAATGTCTAAATGCTGCAGAATCTCTGTGGAGCTGAAGAGAAATCAATGGGACACAGTGCACGAAGTGAAGGTGTTTTCCGACTTGTTTTTAGAGTGGATGTTTTATATTGACGCTGTCCCTCACCCGCTGAGGCAAAAGCTCATTTCTCTTGGTCCAGAGCATCGATCGGTGATGTACAAACGCTGTGCTTACTGTGTGCTTTCAGCAACCCAGTTTTTTTTTCTTTTTACTTCACTACTGTGCATGTAAGGCTGAATTTTCATTTAGACATGTAAAACCAGTGACTTAGGGTGATGTTCAACATAGTTCTTTCGACATGATGAACTGAAAAACCCCAGGTTTAAGTCTATCACTTTTTTTCATTCCATCTGTATTAAGTTGTTATTAAATGAGGTTCCTTATGAAATGGGAATTAGTTGCAGCCAATTAGATAACCTTTTCATAGCACATGGTCAAGCCCATCTTAAACCAGAAGTGGCCTCCATCCCTACAGCTGTGAAGCCTAGTGGTTAAAGAAAGGAAGTTCCCAACAGACACAGTGACCCGAGTTTGAATCCCCCGCAAGGGATCTTGGCTCATCTTAGCTTAATGTGCTTGTCAAATGTTTTGTGAGGTTGTTCTGAAAGTGGAGCAGAACTCCACTGTGTTTAAAAAAAAAAATCGAATGATTTCACCTGTATTTGC